CATGATGGCACCGTCACCTTCATGCTAGGATGCCCGATGCAATGCTCATGTCACTCTCCTCTTCCCCTTTCGCCACCACCACTGCCATCACTCGTCCCTGCCATCACTGCCACTGCTGTGTTAGGGCATCACGTTTGACACGGGAGGCCTGAACCTGAAGCCAACCAACTTCATTGAGACGATGCACTACGATATGGGCGGCACTGCCGCTGTTCTCGGCACCATGCGCGCAATTGCAGACCTCAACCTCCCCATCAACGTTGGTGCGTTGAACGATACGGTTGCTGGTTGCCCCTGTCATTGCCTCCCTTTTCGCGTCGCTGTATCATTGCGCTCTCTTTCCGCGTTAGTGTTGTCTGCCTGCCTGCCTGTCTGTCTGTCTGTCTGTGTGCGTGGATACGTTCGCCTTTCGCATGCATCTCTCTTCGCCTGTGGTGTCTGTTTGCCTCCTCATTGCCGCTGCTGCTTCCGTGCATGTGCGAGTGCAGTTGGTGTTCTGGCGTTGGCGGAGAATGCAATTGGCTCCGGCGCGTACAAACCCATGGCAGTCATCCAATCCAGAAGCGTTAGTGTCCAGCCTCATTTGATGTGCTTCGTGTGTCTACGTCTGTCCTGCATGTGTAAGTGTGTGTGTGTGGGGGGGGGTTATGTACATGCACACACACGCGCACCTGTGTGTGTGTGTGTGTGTGTGTGTGTGTGTGTGTGTGTGTGTGTGTGTGTGCGTGCGTGTGTGTGTGTGTGTGCATGTGTGTGCGTGTTGTGTGTACTCTGTGTTTGTGTCACACAAGCTTTTGTCTTTGATTTAAAGCGTTGTGTCTGTATCTTGGCAATGTTGTTGTCTCTGTGCTTTTCCCTTCTTCCTTTCTTGCACAGCTGTCCCCCCACCTTCTGTCATTGCCCGCTGACAACGTCGCTCGACGGCTCGACCCCCATCTCGTTGCCACAGACCTGGTTGCCGAGTACCGCAAGGCAGCATGCAGCGCTGTGCAGCGCCTGACGTCCCTCAAGTCCACCGCTGCCTCATTCTTCGTCGAGTGTGCGTTGCCGACGTGCGAGCCGCCATACTATACTGCGCCTCCTCCATCCGCAAGGAGAAACTGCGTCCTCACTTGCATCTTTGGGAAGCTTGTCGCTCGCACACACTCATACACGCACACACACACACAAGAGAGAGACAAGCGAGCACCACAACTCGCACACACACACACACTCTCTCTCTCTCTCTCGCACACACTCTCTCACACTCGCACTCACGCGCGCACACACACTCACACACACACACACTCACACTCGCATTCGTTTGCCTCCATGTTTACGTAGGCGAGGACGATGCGAAGAGCGATGTTGGCAAGACGGTGCTGCAGTCGCTGATGCTGGCCGGTTACTCTTTCGACAAGTACATCACCGTCGAGGACAAGAAGCCTTCCTTCCTCCAGGTGCGTTGCGCCGCGAACCCACGCCCTCTTTCTGTGTCTCTGTGTGTCTGTGGTGTACGTGTCTGTGTCTGTGTGTGCCTGTATGTGGTCATGAATGTACTGACCAGCTGTGGGTGCATTGGTGGAACTTGAGACTGAGGTTATTGTCGCTTCTGACTCGCACAATCGCCACTGCGCACGTGTGCACAGGACGTCAGCCTGCACGTCAACGGCTCCTCGTTCCAGGATGCAGAGACCATCGTGCGTTTTGATGCCATGTCGTGCTCTGTATGCGTGTGTCCGCGCCTGTGTGTCTGCGCCTGTGTCTGTGTCTGTGTCTGTGTCTTTGTGTGTGCAGGCGCTCACGGCAACGCAGTTACTGTGCATCAAAACCATGCACACACTTCCTTCCTATTTTACCCACGCATGTACTTTTGCACCCACGCGCTCCTCTTGCCCGCATGCCATGGCTGCAGGCAGCGAGCAAAGGAACGGTGCTTGCACGCGACCTGATGAACGAGCGGGCAGATGTGGCCAACCCAAAAGGAATCCATGATGTGGCAGAGCGCGTGGCAGCAGACTTCAACCTCAACGTGCGACAGAACACCTCGTTGCCATGACAACGACACTCGCTCGCGCGTGAATGGGTGGTTGCGTTTTCCCGTTTTCCCTCTTCTCTCACTGCGTTGCTATTGGCTTGATTCCATATCGCCTGTTTCACTTGTCCTTTCACACAAGCAGTTTCACTTGCTCGTTCACACACACTCGCACACATTTACAAAATCGCGCACTCACACTCATTTACAAACAAACCCGCACACACGCACGCACGCACCACACCGCACGCCTCCCCCATGACCCCTCCCCCGCCCCGTTTTCTGTGCAGTGCCACAGCATTGTTGGCATCCCAGCCCTCGATCACGAGCGCATGCACCTCATGTCAGCTGTACGTACCACTAAGATCAAGCGGTCCCTCCACCTCCCTTATGCCTTGCCTCGTGGATGCGTGTGTGCACATGCTCTCAACCTGTCCCTTTTCGTTGGCCTGGTGTTGCACAGCTGCGTTGTGCACTGCGGAACGCTGTTTTGCTGTCGCTATCGCTTCCCATACGTACCATCATCGCCGGTGACGTGTACCCACACACACACACACACACACACACACACACACACACACACACACACACACACACACACACACACACACACACACACACACACACACACACACACACACACACACACCCTGCATGCACCGCAACAGGTTGGCCAAGGGTCCCGGTTTGAGCCGCGTCTTGTCTGCCTCGAGCACATGCGCGGGCCCACCGACGCGCCACCCGTCGTCCTCGTTGGAAAGGTTGGCAGCCACATTGCACCTGTCACTCACGCATGCCACTCCTGCTGTGGACACGAGTGCACCGCGCTCGTTCGCGGCACCATTCGTGGAATCATCTTCGGCTCCATGATGGCACCGTCACCTTCATGCTAGGATGCCCGATGCAATGCTCATGTCACTCTCCTCTTCCCCTTTCGCCACCACCACTGCCATCACTCGTCCCTGCCATCACTGCCACTGCTGTGTTAGGGCATCACGTTTGACACGGGAGGCCTGAACCTGAAGCCAACCAACTTCATTGAGACGATGCACTACGATATGGGCGGCACTGCCGCTGTTCTCGGCACCATGCGCGCAATTGCAGACCTCAACCTCCCCATCAACGTTGGTGCGTTGAACGATACGGTTGCTGGTTGCCCCTGTCATTGCCTCCCTTTTCGCGTCGCTGTATCATTGCGCTCTCTTTCCGCGTTAGTGTTGTCTGCCTGCCTGCCTGTCTGTCTGTCTGTCTGTGTGCGTGGATACGTTCGCCTTTCGCATGCATCTCTCTTCGCCTGTGGTGTCTGTTTGCCTCCTCATTGCCGCTGCTGCTTCCGTGCATGTGCGAGTGCAGTTGGTGTTCTGGCGTTGGCGGAGAATGCAATTGGCTCCGGCGCGTACAAACCCATGGCAGTCATCCAATCCAGAAGCGTTAGTGTCCAGCCTCATTTGATGTGCTTCGTGTGTCTACGTCTGTCCTGCATGTGTAAGTGTGTGTGTGTGGGGGGGGGTTATGTACATGCACACACACGCGCACCTGTGTGTGTGTGTGTGTGTGTGTGTGTGTGTGTGTGTGTGTGTGTGTGTTGCCGTGGCCGTTTTGCATCCATGTATCAGCCTCTGTCCGCCCGTCCACGTTCCTCTGAGTATCTTCCTTGTCGTCCATCATTTCTTCTGACAACCCCCCCCCCCACCACCACCACCACCACCACCGCTCGTATGCGCAGGGCAAGACGGTTGAGGTTGGCAACACGGATGCCGAAGGCCGCCTTGTCCTTGCAGACGGTAGAGCATCTCTGCGAGTGCCCCTGCAGCTGTTTGTGCATGTGTGGGTGGATGTGTTTTGGACATGGACTTGCACGCTCGCACAAACGGCTCCGCAGTAACGTGCCGCGTCTCTCCCTCCTCCTTATTCTTCTTCCTGTGCTGGTTTGGTGTCTCGCCAGCGTTGACGTATGCACAGGACCGCTACAAGCCGACCACAGTTGTGGATGTTGCCACACTTACAGGTGTGATTTGCTCTCGCTGTATAGATCAGACACGCAATTGCCATGAGTGTTGACACAGCATGCTGGCCTTTGGAGCCGCTTCCCCCGCCCCTTGTCACAATTTTGCTCTTGTATGCGGGGGTACGCTCACATGTGCAACGCACACGTGCACACACACACACACACACACACACACACACACACACACACACACACACACACACACACACACACACACACACACACACACACAATGCATTCGCATGCACGCAGGCGCGTGTGTTGTTGCGCTTGGCCCCTATGGCGCTGGCCTGTTCACCAACAATGACGACCTTCAATCCTCGCTCGTCACTGCGGGCTCCTCTGTCTTTGAGCGCGTGTGGCCGCTGCCCATCTTCCCCGAGCACAGGGAGGAGCTCAAGGGCGCCTTCGCAGACATCAACAGCACGGGTGAGGATGACATGTGTGTCTTTGTGGTTTTTGTGTGCGTGTCTGTGTTATTTTGTGTGCGTGTGTGTGTGTGTGTGTGTGTGTGTGTGTGTGTGTGTGTGTGTGTGTGTGTGTTTGCGTGCGTGCGTGCGTGCGTGCGTGCGTGTGTGCGTGTGTGCGTGCGTGCACACGTGCATGTGTGCACGTTGCGTCTGAGTCACTGTCCCCCTGTCCTTTCCATTCATCGTGACGCGTTTGTCACCCACAATTCCCTCCCTCCCAATCTACACCTTACACCAGGCACGAGCCGGTATGGCGGGGCGAGCACGGCTGCTGCCTTCCTTGAGAGCTTCATCCAGGACTCCGTTCACTGGGCACACGTGGATATTGCCGGGCCATCAGACTACTCAAAGGTCGTATGACTGCGTGTGTGTTCATTTGTGTTGGCTTTCGTGTTCTTGCCGGTTGCGTACCGTGCGCGTCTTCGTCTGCCGTAATGCCAGCCGTCACACAATGCTCACTGCGTCAACCCACCAACCCACTGCCCTCGCCGTGCCCAGGCCTCTGGACCGTTCAACGCCGGCGGCACCGGGTTTGGCACGCAGCTGCTCACGCGCTATCTTGCGGCGACAGCCGCCGCCTGAGGCGTGCAGGGATGCCGATGATGATGATGACGATGATGATGATGATGATGATGATGATGATGATGATGATGATGATGATGATGATGATGATGATGATGGCTGTGATGAGTGACGGTGATGGCAATGGTGGTGATGCTGCTGTCGTGCTGGTGGTCATACAACCATAAAAACACAAAGACAAGAACGAGAGTAGTCTACAGCAATCTTGTCTTGTCTCCATTTTGTGTGTGTGTGTGTGTGTCTGTCTGTCTATGTCTGTCTGTCTGTCCAACTCTACCCCTTTCTGTGGAACAGGAGAGACGTGGTGGTGTTGCTTGGAGCAATGCTTGGCACGGTTTGGTTTAATGCCCGTATCCAGGTGATGGTGAAGCTGTTGTGGTGTACATGCAAGGTTATGGGGCATTAGAAGGCCGGGCAGGGTTCCTGTTGGGTTGCGCAGTCGTAGTCGGCCGCTTGGCGCTGCAGTGCACACTCGTATCTCGCCTGCCGCATCTCCTGCTTGATCAGCTCCTCCTGATACGCAAACGTCGTCAGTGCCTCTACACTTGCAGCATCTCCATATTCATCTGTGATGCATGTACGGCAAGTGCTGGGAGCGTGAGCGTGTGTGTGTGTGTGTGTGTGTGTGTGTGTGTGTGTGTGTGTGTGTGGCAGGTTGCTCTCCATCTCCGAGATACGAACACACACACACACACACAGCGCGCGCCAGCTGCCTGCTTTGGTCGAACCTTGTGTTTGGTTGTCGACGCACTTCAGGCACGTTTGCGGGCAAAGAGATGCGAATGGCTGCATGTTGCAATGCAGTGCGCGGCGGGTGCGCTCGCATGTCATCTGCTCCTGCGCCCCCAAGTCTGAGACGCCAGCTTGCCACACCTGTTCCACGGCCAAGTCTTGGTCCATGCACGCATTCTCATACCCTGCCATGCCGTACAACAGCGCAGACACACACACGCACATGCACATACGCACACCCACACATGCGGTGAGCAACTTCAACCCGAGTATGCTCATCACCAACGCAGCAACGCACGTCTGGTTGACCATGGCGTGGCACGGGCTCTTCTTCGTCAAGCATCCTCCTGTGTCTGCTTACCGTAGCCTTGGCAGCTTTGCTGGCAGAGGAATGCCACGGCATTGGCGAATGCGCCGCACAGCCCCTGCTGAGCAGCCTCAGTGCATGTGCCCGTGGAAGGAAGGAGGGCAGCGAGTGCGTCGTCTTGATCAAGTGTGGCTGCTCAAACAAGGTGCACGTGTGATTACGAGCGTGAGCAGAGAAGCAGGTGTGCTCAGGACCAAGCAAAGAACAACAACAAAGGCGCCAACAGCAGCAACCCTGACAACCGACGCACTCCACGACAGCAGGCACACCAGGGCGCACGACGGAACCCTCTGGGCGCTTCCACCCACCCGCTTCAAGCCACACCCTCTGCTCACCGCTGACGACGGTGGCTAGTAGGGTGGCCACGATCATTCCAAACACGACCCTCATCGCTGCTCGCGTGTGGTGTTGCTGTTGTTGGTGTTGTTGTTGTTCGAATAAGAAAGAGTCTGTGTGTTTAATGCAAAACAGCAGATATCGGTCGGGTCATACGACAAGGCGAACAAGCTGTAAATCGTTGCCAGCGAGCTGCATTAATTGTTTACACATCACTTCCTTTCACAGCCACACGCTCGACGCTGGATGTTGACGGTGGTGTGTGCTGCTGTCTTCTTCGATTACTGGTAGCCGAAAGGCAAACTACAATGCGCAACTAGCTCGCTAGGAAGCAGAGAGAAAGACCTGTTTGTAACGAAGTAACGAGTGGAATACACCAGGAATTGCCACGACAGCGTCCAACACACACACACACACACACACACACCGCGCGTACAAGAAGGTAGACACACTACGCATCTCCAACTGCAAGCATCATCTCGTCATGCAAGAGGCGTTCGAGGTGGGAGGCGGACAACAGGTGGTCGGAAGCAATGTGCACGAGCGTGCGCGATGCCAGCACTTGGCAATCAAGCAAGATATGATATTGTGGAGGAACAAAGATCAAGATCTGCAGTCGCGCCAGCTCGCCTTGCTTGTCTGACTTCCGTGCTACAACCATGAACCTGCATAAAACACGCACGACACGTGTCCCGCGCACAAGCAAAGCCGTCAACACAGCAACAGGCAGGCAGGTGCCCTTGGTCACGGCTCGCAAACAAACAAACAAACGAGCAGCATCCAGGCAGGTGAACAGGCAAGACATAACACAGGCAAGACATAACGCCGGCCAGATACTATAGGCAAGGTATCACGTGGACAGTAAAGTAGATTGCCACCAATATCTGCACGTACCGCTGAAAGTGCTTGCGAAGGAACGCCACGGCCTCTGCCGCGCTCATATCGAGAGACTTGCTCGACACGACACCAGAGGCATCTGCGTTCGCCCCAACGTGCCTCCACAGAGCACCAAACAGCACCTCCCTGTATGCGTTCACCTCGCCCTCCGGGCGCGCTGTCATCCCCTCGTCGCTGCCGGCGCGGCGGTACATCCAGCCCGACGGCAGCGATGGCTGGCACGAGCGCGCAGGCGCAATGTGGAGACAGGGGGTGGGTCGAACAAGAAGAGATGAGTGGGCGCGTGTGCGTGCATGTATGTATGTGCGTGCGTGTGCGTGCGTGTGCGTGTGCGTGCGTGTGTGTATGTGCGTGCGTGCGTGCATGCGTGCGTGCGTGCGTGTGCGTGCGTGTGTGTGTGTGTGTGTGTGTGTGCGTGCATGCGTGTGTATGTGCGTGAGCTTGCCAGCAAGTGGAGTAGTGGCAGAGTCGATGAAGCAAGCAACATCTGGCAAGCTGTGCAACGGGTGCGCCAAGTTGTTCGCTGCACACCTGCTGGAGCAAATCAGTGAAGGCCACGTGGATATCGTCGACCTTGCTTCGCCACGACGCGCCGCTGTCGTCCGTGTACGTCACTGTCGCATGCAAATCAGCGGGACGCGGCTGCAACCACAAACAAGACGACCACGTGAAACGAGCAATGTGAATTTCCACCCCGAAGCAACACACACACACACACATACACACACACGCACGCACACACACACACGCACACGCACGCACACTGGATTCACATGGGGGATGTGTGGGTACACAGCACCTCGACAGGATGGCACGGCAGCTCAAAGTCCCAAAACGTGCGCACTCCCGATCCAACAGCAGCGCTGAGAGAAATGGAGCACCACCAACAACATTGAGTGTGAATGAAGAACGCTGCTTGCTGAAGAGTGCCCAAGATGGGACACGAGCCTGACGTGCAGGTGCGTGTGGCGCCGCTTCCCACAAACGCAGACGCGCACTCAGGTACACGAGCGAGCGAGCGTACGAGTGTGTGTGTGTGTGCGTGCGTGTGTGCTGAACCTCACCCGTCCCGCATGTCATCCGCGTCATCTCCTGTCGACATGGACGAGCGCTGAAACAGCCGCAGACACGGGATGTACACTGGCTCCGTCTCCCGGAAATGACCACTGTACGCGCACGTGCATATCGTGAGAGAGAGCGTGTGTGTGTGTGTGTGCGTTCAACAATACGTCGATGGTGGCTTGAATGCAAATGGGGTGGCATGTGATTGTGGTGGGGAGGGAAGCAAGCGGACACAAACATACGCGTCATCGTGGAGGTTGAGTTGGATGGCAAACACTTTTTCGGGACACCGGACAATCTTGGCCACGCCTGCCGCAACCTACGTGCACAGTACATGTACATCAATTGAGCTCAGACACTGGTGACACGAAGTATAATCGCACGATCACACACACACACACACGTGCGAGCAAGCTGGACGCAAGACACATGCAAACATTTGCAGGCTTCCCGCAGAGCGCAAGCTTACTTCCCAACCTCATAAGAGAGACGGCACGGCAAACGCACGCTCGCCTGCAGAGCGGGTGAAATCATCGCACAAAATCATACATTTAGTACAGGTGATGCACGCGAATCACTCACAAACAAACAAAACCAAACTAACGAGTACACAAACACAAGCACACACACACATCTGCACCATCTCTTCATCCATCCACGTCCACAGTAGGTCCATCTCCACGACCACACTCACCTGCGCCATGTTGGCCTGCACGTGTTTGGCGTACGCCTTCAGGACGCCATCTGCATCGAGGGTGCCCCGTAGCGACACGTCGACATCGACCGGCGGAAGCTCAAGCGGTTCGTCTACGGGGTCGTTGCTGCTGCTCGCCGTCATCACCCGCTCCAGACTCGTCAGACTCGGCTTGCGCACATGCATCCGGTACTTGGCTGTGCATATATGCATGTGCATGTGTGTGTGCATGTGCGTGTGTACGTGTACGCGTGCATGTGTGCGTGACAAACAAGAAAGAGAGAAGAGAAGAGAAGAGAAGAGAGAGAGAGTGTGTGTGTGTGTGTGCGTGCGTGCGTGTATGAGGGGCTGAAGCAGCAAGCTGAACAGCACAACCACCGGCATGGTACTGAACCACAATCAGGAAGACTCACTGTCTCGCTTGCGGACTTGCTTTGGCTTGATTCTGTCCCCGCCCCCAAACGCATCACAAAACAGCAGGAGGCACGGTGAGCGCGGAAGATGCAACCTTCATTCAAAAAAAAAAAAAAAAACACATGCGCCATCCATGCAAGACTTCACATGCACACGTGCACATGCATGGGTGACCCATGAGGAACCTCTTGAGAATGAGGAGCTGGTGCGTTGCCTTGAAGATTCCCTCGTGATCGCGCCGTGTCCGATCAACGTCGTCAGCAGGAAGAAACGCCTACAGCGCACATACACGCATGCACACACACATGAGCTCACACACTCACACACAGATGTTGGTGATGTTGACATGGGTGCAGCATATACACGCTGCCAACAAGCTTGAGTTTGCACGCGTGCACCTGAATGCGGCCCTGTTCGAGGTCGTCCAGTGATGTCTCCAGCACAGACTCCAAACGCGCGCCAGACACCTTCACCAGCAGCATGTACAGCAGGCGAGCTGATACAAAGATGCCAGAGAAGTAAGAGAAGCCAGGATGGAAGCGAGGATGAGGGTGAGGAATACGAAACAGACAGACAGACAGACAGACAGACAGACACACACACACACACACACACAGAGACAGACAGACAGACAGACAGACAGACACACACACACACACAAATCGAGCGACGGCCATATGCACGCCACAGACCCAGATCCTGGATGTCGATGTTGCGGTAGGACTGCCAGATTGTGGTAAGAACATCTCCCAGCGGCAGAAGCGTGCTGGCCTGCGCGATAATTTGAAGCGTGGAACAGGCAAGCGTGCGTGGAAACAGGATGAATAAGCACGCGGTCATTGTGCGGGGTAGATGACGAAGGAGAAACATTGAATACACATGCCCCCCCCCCACACACACACGGACAGACAGACAGACACACACACACACACACGGACAGACAGACAGACACACACACACACACACACGGACAGACAGACAAGACAGACAGAAGACACCCTACCTCGGTGACGTTGCGCTGCATGATGCATCGACAAATTTGCAACAGTCTATTGCCGCGATTCCACTCGCCCTGAGGTTTGAAGCAACGAAGGGGCACAATCAAGAACAAGGAAGAGGCAGGGTGAGTCATCGTTTCCACGACGCAACATATGTCGCATACACACGCAAAGGTGCTGGCAATCCCCCGCAAGCAACAGGACATACACATAACACACGTACGCGGCGACAAATTGCTGTGGATGTGAGGATCTCCTTGAGCTTCAGCAGAAACGTTGCGGGGGCAATGCCTTCAACCTGCGCCAACCTGTCGGTGCGCCCACACACACATGTGATGTGAGCGCAAGCGTTCGTGCGGATGCAGTGCAGGCCAGGCGGCGACTCAGGACTGCACCTGAGGACGAGGACGAGGTAGTCGTCAATGTGCTGCATCAACGTCTGTGCTTCTGTCGCCACAAATCGGTCCTGTCACAGCGCATGTGCACACACACACACACACACACACACACACACACACACACACACACACACACACACGTACACACGTACACAGAGGTGCCCACAGGTGCATGGTAAGAACTGGGCGATGCCATGACGACATGTGGTGTGAAGCCAACTCACGCACCAGTACGCATTCATTGCGCACCTGAAGTTTGCGGAGAATGGCCGTAGCGAGCGTGGTGTCACCAAGCGTTTCGCTCACAGCGGTCACAGTGTTGACAAGCAGCGGGAGGAACGCAGGCTGCGATGCAACGAGGCGAAGCAAATAGTCCGACACATCCTGAACACGGCAAGCGCGCATGTGGCGACGCACTCGTAAGTGTCGGTGTGCACAACTCGCGCCAGGTGGGGGGAGGGGCTTGTGGCATGTCTAAACTCAAGTGTGTTGAACAGGAACACGAAGAGGAAGAAGAAGAACAGCACATGGACCCCAACATGACAGCACACAAACAAACACAAGCAGCGTGTGGCACCTGGGTGACCGGTGGCGGTGCGTGGACGAGGATGCGGTACACGGTGGCAAAGAACGCGCGTGCGCCCGCAGATATGCCCAAGCTGCAAAATGGATCGAGGGCACGACAGGGCACGACACACTTGACGTCAGATGTCAACGCAGCAGGAAGTCAGCGCAAGCAGATACGAAGTATATGCCGGCACACAGACAGACAGGCAGACAGACACATCGACAAACACACACGCAAAACCACGTCCGCATAAGCATGTGTATTCGAGTGAGACCTGTCTGCAAACATGTATGTTTGAAAGCAGTCCAGGGCACTGCGGAGAATGCCAAGGCAGTGATCGGGAGACATGGTGGATAGCGCACCCATGTCTGGGAGCACCTGTCGTGGTGGTCAGTTGGATGGTTGATTGGTTTTGGAAAGAGAGGCAATGTAAGCTGAGACAAGAACACACATGTACAAAGGCATACACGGACAAACATACACACACAGACATACGCACATACACACAGACAGACATACGCACACAGACGTCGGTGCAAAGCGATACCTCCAAACGAAGAGACGTATCTGTGATTGTACTTCTCGAGTCCGAATGCTCGGATCGCCTGTCGGAATCAATCCGCGCCATCGCCTGAAGGCCAACAACACTCGCAAGCATGTCCACCTGCCGCGTCCACATCTGTCAGCACACACGCACACACGCACACACATGCACCGCGGTGACGATGAAGAAAAGTCGTCATGAATACATCTGCCGACGCGCACACGCACACGCACACACGCACATACCTACAGCCTTGCACATCATCATGGAAATACATGCACAAGCAAATGACAAAGCGGTGCGAGTGTCGTGTGTGTGTGTGTGTGTGTGTGCCGCAATGGACAAGTACAGCACCTCTATTGATTCAAATTCACGCGGGAAAAAGTCTTCAATTGTCTTGTGCTTCCCTGGTTGGTTATGATGTTGCACCGCACGCCACAGTCAGTACACGTAAGCACTGTAGCACACCCGTTTCTTCTCAACGCCAAGCATATTGTGCTGGCGGATGAGTGGGCCCTCAGCCTTTGCGCAACCTTCAAAGCGAGAGTGAGTGCACGCATGGTAACGCCAAAGGGTGCAAACAGCCGAGCGCTTACCGAGCAGCATGCGGTTACAGAAGCAGAGCGTGAACAGCAGTTGGCGTCGCCACTGCAACCACACACATGTACAAACAACGTACACATGCACATTGGGTGTTCGTGAGCACGACTCCGAGGTCATCCAAACCATAACCCACACAGACAGTTGTACCCACAACTACATCACACACACACACACACACAAGCTGCCACACGCAACAACAGCAAGACTGCCCTACGACAACCTCAGATTGCATAAAAACACAGGGCACACGTTTGTACACAATTCCTCTCCTGCTCCTTCTAGTACCTTGGGGACCTGCGGGTCCAGGATAAGATCAAGGAGACGCACACGCACGGACACAATTTCCTTTGTGCGCAGCAGGCGGCGTTGCTGGAATATGGACAGCAGCATCAGCAACGCGTGGATGTCACAGTGGTCCACGCTCAGCTCCAGGCGTTTAGCGGTCACGTGAAACACCTGGTTGGACAGGTTCGTTTGGGACAGCAGGGTTGCGAGCGCGTGCAGCGTGTGCGCCATGCTGGGCGCGGTGGCGTTTGAGGCCGCCGTTGACAGGAACGAGACGCAGCGCTGAATGGCGTCCTCGCCAGCTTGCTTGGACTGGTAGTGAGAAACACAACGACACGAGCAAAATATGTACAGACATGTGAGAGAAGCAATAAGGACCGTTTCTGGCAACAGAACCAAGTCAAGCTCACAGATAGGTGCGGGCACAAACAGCTCGACACACACACACACATACACACACACACACCTCAACAGGCTGCGCGGCTGCCAGAATCCCGGGCGGGCCGACGATGGCGCTCTCTGGGACAACAGTCGAGGCAGCGGATGATGATACAGCAGCAGCACTGACAGTGGTGGCTGCAGAGGTGGACGGTTTTGCTGCACCGCGACGCTGGGGTGTGTTTGGAGCAGAGCGGCGGGTGTCGTGTGCATGCCGCGATGATGGCGGCGGTGGCGATGGGCGTGCAAGGAAGGAGGACAGTGGTAGCGGCCCATCCAGCACTTCGGGCGGGAAGAAGAACGGCTGGCAACATGTGCAGAGGCAGCGTTGGGGGGGGGGGGTGGGTGGTTTGCGTGAGAGCCTATCATCCGTGCGCTGTTGTGTGTGTGTGTGTGTGTGTGTGTGTGTGTGTGTGTGTGTGTGTGTGTGTGTGTGTGTGTGTGTGTGTGTGTGTGTGACCTCAAGCAGCCAAAGTGTAAAACCACGACCACCACGCACCGTGAGTGCTTCGTCGTCAACAGAGAGGAGCGACTGGAAGTTGAGGCGGTGCGAGGCCACAAGCTCCGGTGGCACCCTGCTGAGGATGTCCGCTCGCCACTTGTGCGTGCTTTGGATGCGGAGAACCGCACACGCATTGCGCATGACAACAGCAAGCAGCTGCGCGTACGCCTGCGCCGTGATGGTGGTTTGCGTCTGTTCGCGCGACATCATTGTGTGTGTGTGCGTGTGTGTGTGTGTGTGTATGTGAGTGAGTGAGGATAAGCCACAAGGACAAGCATGTGAGTGCGTGGGGGAGTGACACGGAACAATGTGAGCCGGCCTCGGGCATGTGCCATCAAGGAACGTGTAACACCTGTGCCAACTGGTAGATGTGGCCAAGCTTATGGCTGAGGAGGCCGGGCATGGCAAGCTCAAGGTCAATGAGGCAGTGGCAGACGATGCGCCGCAGCAGTGCCGTCTCCACGACATCGTCGCCAGCCAACACCGACAGCATGTTGAAGTTGATGAAGCTGCAGTGGCCATGTGCACATCAGCAACAAGGACATGAGTGTCAAACAACATGCTAAAGGCACAGCTTTGCACCACCACAAGCCCATCAGTGCACACACACACACACACACACACACACACACACACACAACACGCCCATCAGAACACACACACGCACAGAGCAAACTCATCCGCACACATGCACACATGCACACACACACACACACACCTCTGAAAGCCCTTCTCAGTGTAATCATGAACGAGGATGAGCGTTGTGATGGTGGAGATGAGCTTGGCCTTGAACTTCATGCGATCCGACATCATGGTCGTGCACTGCGTTGGGTGACACGAGCGCACAAAGCGAGCCGGCGTGAGTCCCTGCACCGTGAGGCAATCTCAATCATTGACACAACGGCAGGCGCGCGTACATACACACACACACACACACCTACCTACCTTTGATATGAGATGGGCGATGGTCTCGCTTGGATCCTCTGGAGGCGCAAGCAGCACGTCGCTCCATTCTGCCAATAACTGCAGCACCTGCGCATGAATGCTATCAGACCGAGTCTGGTCGTCCAAACTCTGCGTTGTGTGTGTGTGTGTGTGTGTGTGTGTGTGTGTGTGTGTGTGTGTGTGTGTGTGTGTGTGTGTGTGTTGCGTAGTGGGGTGCAAGCAGCGTTAGTGGCGAGGTTGGCACGAGCAAGGAGAGCAACCATGGTGAGTGCAAACATGGCGCCCACACCGCGCACGACAAACACTGGCAGGTGCTTGCAGCAACCTACCTCCAGCAAAGCTGCGACAAACTCGGACCGGTCCACTCGTCGCGATGCCAGGTGCCTGAAGTGTGCAGTGCATGGCGTTGTAAGTTGTAAGACCAACGCAAGTAACACAAAAGGCAATGCGGTGGCAGCCACACAGACAGTCGAGGTGACAGTTTCACACAGACACAGACACAGACACAGACACAGGCACAGACACACACAGACACACAGACACACACACAGGCACACACACACATACACACACACACACACAGGCAGACACACACACACAGACACGCACACACACACACAGACACCGACACACACACACACACACACACACACAGCGCATCACTGACTTGAGGATGTTGCCTTTCTGTGCATGTTGGAGGAGGGTGAACCATGGACTGCCAACACTGGCCGCGCCTGGCCTGGGCGCCCCACTCTCGGCGTTCCATGTCTGGGGTTGCTCCACCCCTTCAACCACGGCAAGGTCAAGCAGTGCCCTCGCCAGCCCCGATGGCATTGTTGCCTCTGCTCTGGTGTGGTTGCACGGTGAGAATTGTGTTTGTGTTTGCACGATCCCTTTTGCTTCTTTGCTTCTTCTTGTCGTCTTCTCTCTTGTTGCCACTTTCTCCACAACTTCGCGTTTCGTTCATGTCAGTTCAATGGAGTGCAACCACCATGAAACACACAGACACACGCACACACACACATGCATTGGACCTCATGCAAGTCGCACGGACGGGGGATGATGGGTGGATGGGACTGCTGCTCCTGCAGCTGTTGCTGCCGGCACGAACAACAGCGACAACAACAAGAAAGAGCAGTCCACTCACGAGCCGAACAAGCAAAAGAAGCACATGACTGCGAGTGTGGTGGTGTATGTGTGGCCCAACCGCAAGAAGCGAGTTGAAGAAGAGTGGTGCACGCCCCACCAAAGCGGGAGAAGCGGGCTCAGCGGCTTTACTTGACGTGGCGCTTGAGCTTGCCCATGAAGGCGCGCTTCTCGGCCTTGGTCTGGAAGCGACCGTGGCCAAACTTGGAGGAGGTGTCGATGAACTTGAGCGTGATCTTCTCCTGACCGCGGCGGCTCGTGTCCGGGATGACGGCCTTGCGCAGGGTGAGGGCGCGCTTCTTCACACCGACGGTGGAGCCCTTGACGATGAGGAAGTCCTGCTTGACGATACCGTAGCGGGGGAAGCCACCCATCGGGGTGATGCACTTCTTGGTGGGGTCAGCGGCGACGGTGGCGTTGTCCGTGACGTAGCGGCCCTTGTCGTCCTTGTGGTAGCCCTTGCCGACCATGTAGATCTTCTTGTTCATCTCCGTGCGGTGGTGGTAGCCGTTCTGACCGGCGCGAGCAACGGAGTACTGCACGTTGGCAGGGTGCCAGGCGCCAATGCAGGCAACCTTGCGCAGACCCTTGTGGGTCTTGCGGGGAAGGCGCTTGGTGCCCCAACGGTGGGTCACACCCTCAAAGCCGCGACCCTTGCTGGCGCCGAGGACGTCGATGTTCTCGTCCTGGACAAACACGGTGCCGACGGGGATGTCCTGCTCGAGGAGGCCCTTGGCAAAGGCGACCTTCTCCGCGGGGGTGCCGCCGTTGACCTGGATCTCCATGATGTGGGCCTTCTTCTGGCGCAGGTTGAGCACGTCAATCTTGGTGTGGGCAATGACGCGGATGACGGTGCAGTACTTGGCCAGGCGGCGCAGCTGGTCCTCAAAGTTCTTCTTGCCCTCCTCGGTCTTGAGGCGCGCAAAGTACTTGGAGAACTGCTTCTTCTTGCTCTTGACGTAGTTCTTGTAGAAGCGGCGCATGCACGTCTCGGACATGTTGCCGGCGAAGACGGTGGTGAGCTGGCGCAGGCCGCGCGGGGTCTCGACGTAGCCGACGATGCCGACGCCGACCATGGGCGGGGTCTCGACAACGGTCACGGCCTCGACGACCTCCTTCTTGTGCGCCTTGGAGCCTGTGCGGTCCATCTCACGCACAATGTGGGTCATGCCGGCCTTGTAGCCGATGAAGGCCGTCAGGTGGGGCTTGTCCTCCTTGTTGTCGCGCGGGAAGGAGCGGACGCGGCCGCGATGATGCTTCGTGCGCTTCTTCGGCAGGAAGCCGAGAGAACCGTGGCGGGGCGCGCGGAACTTGCGGTGGGACCTGTGGCAGTGTGTTTGAGTGAGTCGTAGTTGTGTGTGGCAGTGTGTGTGTGAGTGCATGTGAGAGTGTTGTGTGTGTGTGTGTGAGTATGTTGTGTACGTGTGCATGTGTATGTGTGTGTGCATGTGGCGCTGTTCAAACGCAAACAAAAGCTGCACACTGCCCTCCCCCCAATGAACGCCATCAGCGCATGCAAGCATCCACCCACGCTCCTGCCATCCACAAGCCCACGCCCGCACACGCACTGCCGCTCAGCTCACTCACATGGTTGGTGGGTTGAAGGGGTTGGTGGGCACAAAAGGGAAAAGGCACAAACGCATGTGCCAATGGAATTTTATACAAATCTTCAGTAGATAACCGTTTATGCAGTGATATCGCGAACCATCGCCCGCCAACGACTTGTGCTGCCCCCACTCCTCCACTCACCATCCCTCTCTGTCCTTTTCTCCATGTTATCATACAGCTTCACTCGCTGTCACTGCTGGTGGACCAATCTGAAGACGACAGCCCAGATGATGAAGATGACGACGACGACGACGACGTGGAGAGGCGCCGGCTTCGCTTCTTCTTCGCCTTGTCCTTCTTGCGTTTGCTCTTGCTTTGTTTGCGTCTCGCCTGCTCTTTGCGCTTTTCTTCCTTCTTCTTCGCCTTGCGCTTCCTCTTCTCCTTGCTACGGTCGCGCTTGTGCTTGTGCTTTCGCTTCTTCTCCTTGTGCTTTCGGCTGCTGCTGCTGCTGCCGCTGCGGATGCCGCCCTTGCGCGTGCTGCTCGCTTGCTCCCCGGTCACCTCAACCCACTCGTAGTCCTCCTCCTCTCTACGCGCCTCAAGTCGCATCAGGTCCATCGAGTTGACGGATTCCGACGGCAGTGGCTGCTGTGTTGCACGTGCAGCCAGTGGATGAACTCGTGCAAGCGTCAGTCGCGGCGGTCCACCTGGCTGCTGCTGTTGTTGTTGCTGTTGTTGTTGCTGCTGTTGCTGCTGTTGCTGCTGCTGCGGCTGCTGTGTCTGCTGTGTCGGTGCGCGACCCAATGAGCCCGCCGGGACAGGTGGGCCGATATCTGTGTCCGATTCGCTGCTGTCCGATGGCACAGCTCTTTGCTGTGCCAACAGGTTCTTGTCAACCCCACCTGGCAAGCCGCTCTTCGTCGTCGTCGGCGCTTCTGACGTGCGCTCGCTGCTCGTCACAACCGACTCCGTTGCCCCTGCTCTTTCGCCTGGCTTCCTTTCCCGCACTACTGCTGCTGCTGCTGCTGATGCTGCTGCTTTCCCTTCATCTTCGCCCTCACCCTCAGCTTCGTCCTCGCTCTCGCTCTCGCTGCCGCTGAAGATGGCCTTGAACAAATCCATCGGCGGGCGATCCGGCAGCGGCTCCACCTCCTCATCCTCTTCCTCTGCAACGTCCCTGTGCTCGTGTCTGCCGGTGTCACCTTTGCCTCCTTGGGTCGTCTTTTTCGGCTGCAAACCATACGTCTTGGCTGCACCCACGCTTGCATCCCCACGTGACGCTGCGCCAGCGAGCAGTTCCTCCGCCATCTGGTCGCCCTTGGGCAGCGGCTTTGTCTTGTCAACGGTTGGGCCCGTGCGCAGGCTGGCTGGTGTTGGCTCCTGCAGCCCCGCAAACCCCGGCACAGCACCCCAGCGCGTCTTGCGCCGCCGCCCACCAGCCGGCTCCTCCGCCACCAGCCCAACGAGCCCAGACTGCCACCATGGCGCGTGTGTGCGCGCGCGTATGTGTATGTGTGTACGCGTATGTGTGTGAGTGTGTGTGCGTATGTGTATGTGTGTGTGCGCGTATGTGTGTGTGTGTGTGTGAGCAGACAGGCTGGAGAGACCACGATGTGAATGTATGAGAGTGTGTCCCACCCCCCTCTCTGTCTGTCTCTCTAGGCACGTCCGTCAAAGAGCGAGCGCTGTCACTTACGCGAGGATAAGGGTCCTGGGTAGCAAAGCGCTTGCAGAGGATGCGGTGCGGGTGCCATTCAAACGATTCTCGCGTCAAGCGGCCATGCATGTTAGATTTTGCCTGCAAGCACCAACCACCGCAATGCGTATGCAAATGTGAAAAACAAAAGGAAGCCAAGCAAACCAGAGCAACAGCGAGCACCCACGGCCACAGCGCTTTGCATGTTCCACGCCTGTCAGGCACTCACACATGACAAAGTCACAGAGTATGCTCGACAATCATGAATGTGCCACGCGTGTGTTGCTCACCGCCTGTTCGCTGTCGTCCACACGCTGTTTCTGTTCCTTCTTTTCCTCGGCAGTCAGCGCGCCGCTGTCTGGGCCTTCAGTGTGAACGCAACAAGCAGCAATCCGGGGCACGAACACGCGTGGTAAGAATGAGTACAGGGGATTACGGTGGTGTGATTCACCACACTTGCAACGCGCAGTGCCGCGAGTCAGGAGGAAAAAATGTGCAGCGCACACGCACTCAAGGTGCATGTACAGCGCACATGTGCCTCTGTACACGTGCATGCCAAGGACTCAAAGGGGGTACCTTGCGGGAGGGTGAACCGTGCTGCCATGAGCTTTGACAGCGGGTTCTGCAGCCGCTCCTGGTCCGCCCTCGACTGCAAGTCGGCAGCGGAAGCCGGCTGGTGCTGCTGCATTTGCTGCATTTGCTGCATTTGCTGTTGTTGCTGTGGTGCAACTGGTGGCGGGCGCCGCAAGGGCT